CCCCCCCCCCCCCCCCCCCCCCCCCCCGGCGGCCCCTCCCCTCTCCTCCTTTTTTTCTGGGGAGGCCATCCTCCCCCGAGCGCATTCACCGACTCAGCAGCATCGTTTGCGCCACAAATTGATGATGGAGGAGCTGCAGAGGCGACTTGAGCGCCTTGAGGGGCAAGTTGCGGAGCTCACAGTCCCGGAAGATGCAATGACGAACGCTATGGCACAGCACCAACGGTCGAAAGAAGAACTGGTGGAGATGCTCAAACGGCAGCTGGAGCAGGCAGAACAGCGCAACAGGCAGCTTGAGGCGGAGTTGGCTGAGCTGCGTGAACTGGTTCACCGTCAGCCCGTCGAGCTCATTCTCGATGACGGCAGCAAATACTATGGTCGAGTCAAGAACGGCCGTCCGCACGGCCCCGGCAAGCAGACCGACACGTACGGCCAGAGGAAGATCTACGAGGGGCAGTGGACGGACGGCAAATACGACGGCATCGGTGTGTCATTCCATGACACGGCAAAGAAGTACGATGGCAGATGGAAGAACGGGCAGATGGTCGGCAAGGCAACAGCACAGGAGATGCCCTTGGGTGACGGCAGTATCTATGCCGGCCCCCTTCTGAATGGGAAGCCACACGGCCAGGGCACAGCGACGTGGTCAAATGGCGGCAGCTGCACGGGGGAGTGGGAGCATGGGCAGCTGACTGGCGAGGGGGGAGCCGACAAGATCCCTCTCGGGGACGGCGAGACTTACACCGGCCCACTGCACAATGGAAAGCCACACGGCCAGGGGACAGCGAGATGGCAGAACCGCGGCACATCCACAGGCACATGGGAGCATGGGCAGATGGTCGGCAAAGGGACCGCCTACATGATTCCCTTGGGGGACGGCACCACCTACACAGGCCCGTTGCTTGACGGCAAGCCGCATGGCCAGGGTACGAGCTATTATCAGAATGGCAACAAGGTGTATGAGGGCCAGTGGGAAATGGGGAAGAAACACGGCCAGGGCATACTCTACAACAGCTCAGGATCCTCTCAGAAGCGAGACATGGTATGCGAGGGCCGGTGGGCTACTGGAGAGATGGTGGAAGAGGGCACAGCGCATCGGCTGCCATGGAAAGGCTATCACTACCAAGGACCCTTGCGCAACGGCATCCCTCACGGATGCGGGACGGCACACTGGTCTGACGGCAGCTGCAAAGGCCGGTGGGCGAATGGCGAGATGGTCGGCGAGGTGAGAGCCGTCAAGATGCCCTTGGGGGATGGCACCACCTACACAGGCCGGCTGCTTGACGGCAAGCCTCATGACCAGGGAACAGTGCAGGGCAGCATACAGCTAGAGGATCGCACCACCTATAGTGGGCCCCTACGCAACGGCAAACCACATGGCAGAGGGACAGCAAGCTTGCCGACCGGCGGTAGTTACACAGGGCACTGGGAGAATGGACTGCAGATTGCTGCTGCGGGGTGGGCGAACAAGCTGCCTTTGGCGGACGGCAGGCGCTATGACGGTTCCCTCTTCAACGGCATGCCTCATGGCTACGGCACCAGCTATCAACAGAGTGGCAAGAAGGATTACGAAGGGGAGTGGAGACACGGAAAGCAAGATGGCGAAGGGACTCAGTTCAACCACGCAAACGACTCAAAAGCCTTCGACGGGCAGTGGGTTGCCGGCAAGGTGGTGGGAGAGGGCAAAGCTCACCGGTTCCCGTGGGAAGTGTACGACTATGAAGGGGCCCTCCTGGATGGCAAGCCCCACGGCAAAGGGACGGCACACTGGTCAAACCCACGCACAGGATGGACGGGCAAATCCACAGGAAATTGGGCCAACGGACAGAAGGCGTCTGGTGATGGCAAGGCAGACAATATGCCCTTGGAGGATGGCAGCATTTACACAGGCGCGCTGCTCGACCACAAGCCACACGGCCGGGGCACCAGCTATTGTCCGAATCGCAGAGAACGGTACGAGGGAGAGTGGAGAGAAGGACAGAGGAACGGCAAGGGCATCAGCTATCAATCCGATGGCAAGACAAAGATGCATGAGGGCCAATGGGAAAATGGGCAGATGGTCGGTAAGGGGACAGTATCAAAGATGCCCTTGGAGGACGGCAAAGTCTATGATGGCCAAGTGCTCAATGGGATTCCACATGGCCAAGGCACTAGCTACACGGAATCCTACACCCACGGCGGAGGACCCCAGTCTAAAATGGACTTCAATGGAAGCTGGCAAGACGGGAAGTGGCATGGGCAAGGCACAGTCTGCGACCGCAACGGCAAGTCAATGTTCGAGGGAAGATGGGAGGACGGGCTGCCGCAGGAGGGGACTTTCTTTCCTCATTCTGGTGGCTACAATCAGAAGTGGCGAGCTGGCGAACGGCTGCCTGCTGGCATCCCCAAGATGCTCCATGAGCGTTGGACGATACCCTGAATGGTTGGTATTAAAGCTCTAAAGCAGTGGGCCTGCATGTGATCTGCATATGACATTGCTCACTTTGTAATATGAGCAATCGATCGGACTTTTGGCTTTTGTGTCTCTGGTTTCAATCCATACAAAGACAGAATTGCAAGAAGATATAAGAGAACACACAACCAAATTTCGTGGGTCTGTCATTCTGTCACCCTGTCTGACCACACATGCACATGCAATGCTATCCACAGATGGTCATCATATCACCACACATGCCTCGATCGTGCCGTTGCTTGTTGCATCCGTGTACGTAGCAACAAAGAAACTCTCAGTCATCGATTGACTGTCGATATGGTGTCTCGTGTCGAGCTGTCTCTCTTCCTTTCGCTGCTTGTCGTGGCGGGCGCCGAATGCTCGCTCAGTCGCCTCTCGCCTCTCGACAAATACACACGCATCCGCAACCCCCCTCCATCCAGGCTGGTCAAGGATGTCACACAGCCGCTTGACGTGCCTGTGAGACAGGCGATGCTCGACACAGACAAGCACAAGAAGAAGAGAATGGTGAGCGCGGAGGTGCGGCTGTCGTGCAGGACGTGCGAGAGACTGATGAAGCGATACATCGAGAGAATGGTGGAGTTCGACGGCACTGGCTTCGGCAGCTCGTCCTTCAGACAGTTCTGCGAGGCAATCGCACAGACAGAGACCGACCAATTCACAGAAGCAGACGTGAGCGGCAGGAGACAAGAGACACGCACAATCAAACATTCACTGTTGCATGTCTGCTTGTGTGTGTGTTGGTGTGTCAGATTCGTGAGTGCATCAGCATGGCTGCCAATCTTCAGGCGAGAGCTGGCACGGTGGTGTCGGCCTCCCCCTCCCTCCCTACACCAGGCTTCGCCGCGAGATTCCTGGCTGAATGCTCCAAGAAAGGCGGGCCACCAAGCTGCTACAAAGGCAAGAAATCACTGCAACGGCCCATTGTGATTGAAAGCTCTGTCGTGAGTGCAGGGTACTGTGAGCGAGAGGCTTCCTGCGTGGAGTGCCCGACGGGTGTGCGACTGACAGACAAATCAAGCAAAGACAAGATGACGAGTGGATTTTGGATTGTGTGTGATGTCAAGGTCCTTTCATGATCAACGAGGGCCGCCGCATGATCAACGCGACGTGCTCAAATCACGGCGCGTGTCGGCTCAAGAAAGGTGCCTTCACTCGTGTCGCTCGTGTATGTGTGGTCACACTGTCATTCATTATTTGACAGGCGGTGGTGTCTTCTGCCTGTGTGACGTCAAGTATCATGGCAAGAGCTGTGAGCACAAAGAAGCGGCATAGGCGCATGATCCATTCACTCGAGCGTCCCACAAACAGCCAGAGCCAGGCGGACAGACAGACACACAGAGCAGAATGACACGAGCATGACGTGACAAGTAATGATATCAATGGCTGTACAAGGTCACTCATCACAGTTCACTCATCTCTCCGCCCCATCTATCATGCTCATCTTATCTCCCACCCTCTCCCTTCCACTCCTGACCGCCGCCAGCAGCACCGCCCATCATCTGCCCGCCGGACTGTGGCACGTACTGTGGCTGGGCTCCCTTCACCGCCGCCGACTGGCCTGAGTGGGGCAGTTTGCTGGGCGGCTCTGCGCTGCCCGTGGCAAGGAACCGCTGTGTGCGCTCGAGGATGGGCAGAATGATGGTACGCTGCTCCTGAAAGCGACGCTGCAGCTCGTGATAGAAACCATCCTGTGACCCCAAACAGGACGAAACGAATGAGAGATGCAACAATGCGAGTGTGTGTATTCGCTCACCACGTTGAAGGACGATTCCAACGACGGTTCAGGCTCCTTCTGCGATGCCATTTCGCCAAAGCCGATCCACACCGCGAGCTTGGCAAAAGATGAACTCGGGATCAAACATCGCCAAACAGCTGTGGCTTGTTGCAACTGTGGCATCTCATGACTGAAACGCATCGTCCTGGCCTTGAGCGTCCGCCGGGTCTGACCATCACTCGGCAGCACGTCCCGCCTCGTCCAGCTCACGATGCAGCAGACGGAGAGGACTGCTCAACGGATGGCATTCTCTTCGTTGGCACCGGTCAGGATAAACGAAACATTGACAGATGATGAGTGTGACAGTGTCGTCTGATGGTCAATGCAGGTGTGTCGTCTGCCCTCCCGCACCTGGAGCACGTGCTGTCGCCCAATGCGTCTTGCCCGACCTGCCTGGATGCGGCCAACAACCCGTCCTCCCGCAACAGGCGCAACAATGTGTCCTTGCTGATCATGCATCGGGGCAAGAACATCCTCATTGACGTGGGCAAGACCTTTCGGGATGCGGCCATCCGTGTGCTGCGGCCGAACGCCATCTACAAGATCGATGCGGTCAGCAGATTGAGGACGAAAGACAATCGTGAGTATGTGTTTGAGTGCGTGTGTGTGTTTCTGGTGGGTGCAGCTGCTTTTGACGCACTGTCACGCCGACGCAGTGATGGGTATCGACGACGTGCGCGACCTGCAGCGGTACGAGCGGCCGATCGGTCCCGATGGCAAGAAGCGCTACTTGCCTGTGGAGAAGCTGCCCACCTACCTCAGCCAAAAGACACTTGACTCCCTGTCCAAGCAGTTCCACTACATCAGTGAGTGAGCAAACCAGCATCATATCAGGCGCATGCTCGCAGCACGCTGATGACCCTCCTGTCTGCGTGTGTGGCGGTTCAGTCAAGGCCTCACAGGCGACAGAGCCGCTGGAGCGAAAGGTCACCGTCCTGGTCAGCAGCAAGAGAGCAGGAACACATATTTGCTTTGCATTCAACTATGCTGCCTTTGGTTTTGTGTATCAGGATTTCCATTTGTTGAAAGACGACCCCTCGGCCGCCCCCGACCTGTCGACATTCGAGGTCAAGGGGACGGGGCTGGTCGTGACGGCACTCCCCGTGTGGCACGGCAAACCATACGTGTGCCTGGGATTCACCTTCGCATTCGGTGAGGCACATACACAGGCAGGCAGGCAGGACCACTCTATGGTCTTGCTGCGCGGCTTTGGTTGGTTGGTTGATCAGATAGCGACGAGCGGGTGGTTTATTTGTCGGATGTGAGCGAGGTCCCCCACGACGTGCGCGACTTCATCCTCTCACTCGGACCCATCAAAGTGGGCAGGCAGGCCGGTGAATGATGAGGGAGGGCTGCTCGATTGGATGCTGCATGGACCCCCGTTTGCAGATTCTGGTGATCGACGCCATTCACTGGGAGAAGCAGCACTTCAGCCACATCACTCTCCAGGAGGCGCTCCAATACGTCTTGGTAGGCAGGCGCAGGAATACACGCAGCAAACCTTCTCTGTTGCTTCGCCTGTCATGCCACAGCTGTTCCAGCCCGAGGAGGCTTATTTCGTCGGCATGATGTGCGACATCGAGCACGATGACGCCACCGAGAAGCTCAACCAGTGGCTGGACGACGAGCGTAGCAACAACAGCGAGCTCAACGTTAAGAAGGTCGCGCTGGCCTATGACGGCCTCAAGATCCCACTGCGGTGTCCCCCACTCAACAATCCCTCCAGCACAACGACCGCCGCCGCAGCTCAGCGGGCGCCTTCACCCGTCCCCGTGGACGCACTCAAGAGGGTGGGACAGCCGTCGGCGCTGCAGACGCCCCACAGGCCGATCTGCCAGTCGCCTGGAGAGACCCCCGAGAACACGCCACTGCCCCCGGTGCCGCTTGGTGGAGGGAAGGAGCCACCTGACAGATAGCTGAGATGGGTGGCTGGTGTGCTGGAGGGTTGTGGGAGACGCTGTTGTTTTTATGTGCCACTAGTAAGGATGGGTGGTGTGGGTGTGCTGGGTTTGGGGGCGGTGGTTTGTATAGGTTGCATCCATCGTTCATGAAGGCCGAGTAGGAGGGGAGTTTATCTGTTGTGTCTCTGCGCGTGTGCGTGTGCGTGTGC